ACTCCTCTCTTCCTGAACTTCTTCACCAACAACCCGCAAAACTCTTCCGAAGTACTCAATCTCTATCTCTTCAGAGTTCTCACTCAGTGCGAATTCCTCCGGAAAGCTTGTGGGCTCGTCTCCCATGTGGTACATGGAGACCATCCTAATCACTGGTCTTTGGGTTCCTTGGCTTGCTTGGCTTGTTGAGGTCTTGTTGGCTGACGAAGGGGCCTGAGTAGAAGTACCTGTAGTGCTCGCTTGCTCGCTCTGGTTTTCAAGGTCAACGTTCCTGGCCTGGTAACCCATGTCACGCATTTTCTGTCTGCACTGTGCTTCGAAATGTCCATATTTGTGACAGTAGTGACACACTCCTGTAGCTGCTTGTGCTTTGCCTTTACCTTTTCCTTTGTGTCTGAAGAAACCTCTTCCTCGACCTTTGCCTTTTCCTTTGTAACCTCTGAAACCTCTACCTCGGCCTTTCCAGTTGCCTCGACCTCTGCCTTTGCCAAAACCTCCGAAACCTTTACCTTTACCTTTGCCTTTGCTGTCAAAGCCGTAACCTTTTCCAAAGTCCTTTCCACCTTTCTTGCCTTTTCCTTTACCTTTGCCTTTATGGTGAACATAACCTTTGCCATAGCCTTTCTTTCCTTTGTACCATGCTTGGTTGATATCCATTGCTGCAAGACCACCATGGTCATCACCTTTGTCGATCAAGTCTGTTGTGGTTCGGTGAGGTGTTCCTTGCTGGGCTGCTAAAGAGTTAGTCCAACGCTCGGTTGACTCATAGTTCACAAGGTACTGACGAAGAGTATTGTACTGTGTCTTCTCATCCATGTTGAGCAACAAGTGCCTTTTCACGTCAGGTTTCATACCTTGAATAAGAGTAGATACTTTCAAATTCTCCTGTACCTTTTCTCCAGTAGCCTTCTCGTACTTCTCGATGTGTTCCTCATATTCGAGGATATTCTCAGCAATTCCTTTGTTGTGAGCGAATTTGTAGTTGAGAATGTTGTGAAACAACTCCAACGATCTCGCACGATTCGTTGGTTGATATTCCTTGAGTAGCATACGGTAAGCTTCCATACCGTTCTCTTCAGCTACATGCTTTACAACTCGGTACGGCCTTCCTTTAGTGTATGAACAAAGAACACTGTACAGGCGTCTGCTTGTTTCCTTCGCTTCTGCAGACATCTCAGCCATCTTCACTTGCTTATCATCTTTTAAGTTCCTTTCGGCGATGTCCATGATCTTCACCATGTTGGAATCCACTGCTCCAAGCCAGATCCGCATCCTGTTCCTGAACTCTGTCCATCCACTCTTCTCTTCTTGCCATGTTCCTGGGGAAAATGCTTCGGGGCTTTTAATCAGCTTGTGCAACTCCACTTCTCCAGGCTTTCTTTGTTCCTTTACTGCTTTCTCCAGAGATGCTCCTATCTCCTCAAGTGTCGTTGCTGCGTTCGTGTGGGCGTCTGCCAACGCTGTTTGCGCTGTCTTCTGCTGTTCCTGAACTGCTGTCAGGGTTTCCTGGAATGCTTGTGTAAGTCCTGCTTCTCTTTGACTTCCTGAAGCTGCTGAGTTCCTGATCTCCTCTGCTAGTGTTTGTATTCCTTGTAAGGTCTGTGCATTGATCTCGGCAAGTGCCTTCAATGCATCCTCCATTCCTTTTGCTGTTTCAAGGTTGCTGTACACTAGTGCTGCTAAAAGTAGCGACTTGCACTGTTTCCTGCACACTGCTTGTGCTCTCCTTTCTCCTCTTGTCTTCCTTTGGTGCTTTGAGCAGGTTGCTTGCTCTTGCGAAAAACACACTAGAATAGTATGACAGGGTGATCCAAGTAATCAGTCCCATTGGGGTTCCTAAGAACACTGCTATGCGAATTCCTTGAAATACAACTCTGTTGGAAATGACTTCCTGAACTATCACATGCACGACGTCGTGAAACTTCTTTCCTACAGTTGCTAGCTTTTCTACGAAACTGTGAACATGTTCCTGTACAAATTTCCTCAGTACTTCTCGCTGTTGTTTTACTAGGTACCTAGGGGCGTAGCCTGACTCAAGGCTCTCACTCTCCTGGTTCTCGGTGTTCTGGTTGCCGTTCCTGTTCTCTTCCGTGTAGTACTCGCCGGTCACGCTAACGACGCTGTAGAGCTCGTTCATCACTTGGTTCATGCACAACAAAGCGTACGGTACCATGACTTTTCCTATCTCCACATAGTCCTTAATCGTGTACGCGTTCGTGTTCCTGATCGTGTTCACGTTGGTGCCGTCGGGGTTCACGCTGCACTCGTTGTAGCCTTGCTGGTAGTACTCGCCGTACACGTCGTAGTTCCTGTAGCGGTTCCGGTGCGTATTGGGCTTCCTTCTGCTCGACCACACTGCCATGAGCTCGCTCTCGTCACTCTCTACGTAAGTGAGTTCCTTTCTCCCACGGCTCACATCCTTGGAGGGTAAGGCGTCTCCAAGGGCAAGTTCTTCCTTGGTCTCCACGTTGTTGCCAAGGGCCTGCCACGGTCTCACCGCCATACTTCCTGCTCCTGGGACCAAGATCATCCCGCACAAAGTTGCGAGGCTTCCCAGTGCGAAACCAACCAGCAGCACCATACATGCTGCCAAACCGTAGCACTTCATGTTCCTTTTCTCTCTCTCTTCCACCAACACTCGGTCGGGGTAGCAATCGCTGCAAGCGTCAAAGTCTCGCGCGTTTCCTGCTGTCACGTTGTGGTTGCGAAGGTGTCCACAACCTCTGCGGTGGTACTTTGTTCCTGAACGGACTGCGATCCTGAGCGTGGGCATGTTGAGCACTGTCTCCGTCTTCTTGGTGATCTGCTCATTTGCGCGCATCTGCTTCCATCCGGCAACGAGGCAAACTGCCATGGCGCCGAGCATCATGGTTCCTATGGCTACGAGTAGCATCATCGCTGCCAAGGAGGTTCCTGGAGGCAGCTCCGCTACCATGTTAAAGAACGGGCTTCACTAAGGGTTCCTACCCACAAAGACTGTCGGACACTTTTGTTCCTGGGCACGGTGTGTCCTGGGGTCTCGAGCCTGCACGTCGCGTGTGCGTGACGGCTGTTCCTGTACATTAACTGTACTGCACTAGCTGTGTTACTGTTCCTGGCAGAATGTTTAACAGCACGAGAAACTTCTTTTGGGAAACAGTCCGCACAAGGACTGAAGTCTTTCGCTGTTCCTGCAGTCACGGTGTGGTTCCTGAGGTGTCCACAACCGTGTCTGTGGTACTTCGTGCCTGCACGCACGGCTATCCTGAGCGTGGGGAGGTTCATGACCGTCTCGGTGACCTTGATCACCTGCTCCTGTTCTTTCATCTTTCTCCACGCCTACACGAGACAGAGCATGGCTGGTGCTACTGTTCCTACTAGCAGTAGCATCATCGCTGCCAAGGTCCAAAGGCGGACACTTTTCCTGGACTGCGGAGTGTGTCCTGGTAGTCTCGAGCCTGTGCGCCCAGACGTGCACCGGCTGTTCCTATGCATTAGCACTGTAGTTCCTGCAGGTGTACTGTCACAGGTGGAATGTTTAACATTGGACAAGATTTGCTAAATTCAGGCGGCAATGTTGCCCCTGCAATGCGGGTGACGATGCTTAGGCACCGCTCTGTGGTCGACTTAAACATCGTCTCATAGTCTTTGCATGCTTTTCAACGGGAGGCTCCTTTTCATAGTTTTCATTCTGCGTTGACCACAACAATCGCTTAGCGACTGCAGCTTGCATATACCGCTTCCTTGCGCTGCCTGACTTAGTCTTATATAGTCATAACCTTTTGCATGATGCACCACATGCTGTGCATTCAGAGTTGTGGGAAACCAGCCCATACAGGAGCTTTGTTGCTCCGAACCATGTGCTCATGTTCGTGCAGAACCTCGCGCTCGGGTACTGCACGCCACCCTGTGTGGACGAAGAGAAAGAAGGGTTTTGTCTTTCTGTTTTCACAATGATTTGATTTATCGATAAACAAAGTGCGAATTTAATCAATCGATATTTGAGAATCGCAAGCTATACAAATATGCGAATTCAATCAATCGATATTTGAGAATCGCAAACTATACATATGTGTAAAAATTCTTCACAAGAGTGCTCGAACTCGGACTCTGTCTATTTTCCCGTCGGGGGTCTCACACGGTAGGGCGAGTCAGAAACATAAAATGTGGTCTGTGCCACTGTTTCGGGTTTCGGTTGAGGCACGAGCAAATATGCGGTAGGATTCGCAATCGCTCAGTTGTGCATGATACCGATTCTGCCCCAACACGCATAACCCCCCCACCAAGATATAGGGCGAAAGCCCTCAAGGGCGGGAGGGTGGGTGAAAATTTTTAGCAAAGCTCTGCACAGTGCATGCCCAAGCTGCGTAGCTCATGAGCTGACTGAAGTGTCGTGTTGCACATGTGCGATGAGCCATGCTGTTTGGAGCGGCGCGGGTATGCACGCATGGTTCAACTTCAATCAACATGTTCAATCAGAATACACGTGTTGTTTGAGTGAAGTTGTGGGTTAAACGCAAATAGATTTCAAATAAATCGTTGTGAGTCAAAAGCTCACATCTCAAAACATGAAAACAAAACGATAAATAATCAATCATTGCGCTGCTGAACCGGCAGCTATGAAAACAGAAAAGACAACTTAGTCGCTCCGCGAAATCGCCGTCTTTCTGTTTTCACAATGATTTGATTTATCGATAAACAAAGTGCGAATTTAATCAATCGATATTTGAGAATCGCAAGCTATACAAATATGCGAATTCAATCAATCGATATTTGAGAATCGCAAACTATACATATGTGTAAAAATTCTTCACAAGAGTGCTCGAACTCGGACTCGGTCTTTTTTCCAGTCGGGGGTCTCACACGGTAGGGCGAGTCAGAAACATAAAATGTGGTCTGTGCCACTGTTTCGGGTTTCGGTTGAGGCACGAGCAAATATGCGGTAGGATTCGCAATCGCTCAGTTGTGCATGATACCGATTCTGCCCCAACACGCATAACCCCCTTTAAAAGTGACCGGTCTTACTTGAGCAGCTTCCAAGGTATCTGTACAGTTGATTTGCACAACTCTCCAAGTTCTTCTGCCTTCTCCTGCAGATCAACGATCGTGCCACCAGTGACTTTCGCTGTCTCGGCAATCTCACCACGACTCGGCCCGTCTGCCACATTGCTAGCAGATGGAACCCTCTCTAGCCACGTCAAGCTTTGATCCAAGTTTTCCATCTCGAAGAAGCGTGCTCCCAAAAGCAGAAGCGTACGTGACTTGCTCGCTCCTTTGATCAAGACTTCTCTCGCTCCCTCGTTGTCGATGAAGTAAATGGTTCGCCTGCCATGTATGAAGTTTCTGAAAGCTTCTCTTGCGAGGACCACGGCGAAAGCTTCAGCCTGAGCAATCACCTGTTCGGGGCTGTCAAGCTTCCAGAATTTCACCAGAGTCTTCGGGATGCGACCTCCGGCCACTAGCTTAGAAGAAGTGAAGGGATCCAGGACCACCACGCCGAATGTGGCGACATCTTTTTCGTAAGCTGCATCAGTGAAGATCAACACCGGTTGTTCCGGCCCCCGGCAGGCGAAGACTCTTGGTTTGCACTCGTCAATCAAGCGGATCCCGAACTCGCAAAGTGTCCGGAAGTCACTCGCGCTGCGATCTTCAGGATTCCTGATGAAGCTTCCAAGTGCACGCTGCAGCATCTTCAATGCCCTTCCTGAAGCAAAGCCCAAAGCGAAGTTCACTTGCCCTTGCAGCGACTGAATCTGCCGCAGATCCCATTCACCATTCAACGCCATGCGGATGAAAGTATCTTTCATCTTTTCCAGCCTTGATGCCTTGTTTTGGAGCACCACAACGCCATTGGAGATGTCGCCTGCATTAAGACGTATTCCAAGTAGATCGAAGCTCTCATTGAAAGGCGAGGTTTTGGCTGGGTCGTTGGAATACCTCCACCCGATCTTCCGCAGCAGGTGTTCGAACGATTCAGAAACAAGCTTCGCAGAAGATTGGATTTCAAGAAGCGGGAAGTCGTCGTAGAAGCATCCTTGTTAAAGAACGGGCTTCACTAAGGGTTCCTACCCACAAAGACTGTCGGACACTTTTGTTCCTGGGCACGGTGTGTCCTGGGGTCTCGAGCCTGCACGTCGCGTGTGCGTGACGGCTGTTCCTGTACATTAACTGTACTGCACTAGCTGTGTTACTGTTCCTGGCAGAATGTTTAACACCCCGCCTTCGGAGTTAGCGAAAGTTCCTCGACTGAGGTGACTCCGACTTTTCCTTGACAAACAGTAAACACACTGCAGTTCCTTTTCACTTGCAAAACAAACACTGTTCCTCATCGCAAACGTATGCGCACGTTCACTCGCAATCCTCTCCAAGGTTGCTTGACTGTACAAAAGACGTTCCTGCACTTTACCTAAATCACCACAGAAACAAAAAGGGCTGTGCCACGGTTCCTGTGTCCTGCTGCTTCTTTCCTCGGCTCTCTGGCCTCAGTACTGCTCGCGGTTCCTTTGCTTCACTGGAAGTTCACTTTGCCTTCCTCTTCGCTGTCTTTAGCTTCCTCTTGGTCGTGAAGCTGTTCCTTTAGCCACTCTTCTTTCATCTTTGCTTGCGCTTTGCACTTCTCCTTTCCTTGCTTGTCCTTTGACGCTGCTTTCCAACCTGTTTCCTTTGATCCTGAATACCAGTACCACTGTGCCTTGGATTCGTTCCACTTCCACTGGTACTTCCTGTTCTGGAAACTGTAGACTGCAAACCAGTTTCCTTCAAACTCTCCTTTTCCTTTTCCTTTCATGAACGATGCTTCGTTCACTGGTCCTTTGGCGGACAGTTCTGGGTCGTCCTTGTCTTCTTCCTTCTGCTTGTGCTGTGTGACGTTCGGTGGCTCCTTTCCTGTTGCTTTTCCTGTTCCTTTTTGCTTCTGGCTTCTCCTCTTCCTTTGCTGGTGTTGTGTCAGGTTCTGTGGGTGCCTGCGACCCGGCTGCTGATCCTCTGCTCTCAAGCTCCTGTGTAAGGCTTGCAATCCTTTCTTTATCCTCTTTGCGTTCCTTCATCATCTCCTTCATCATTTCTTCAAGCTTCTGGATCCTGTCTCCTTCACCTGATCCTGTTGCTGTTGTTGCTGCTGCCTTCTTTTCTGCTTCCTTCTTGGCAATGTACGCTGACGCTGCCTTTTGATCTTCCTCTCTTTTCTTCCTGGCTTCCTTCTCCTTTCTTTTCTTCTCCTGCTCCTTTCTTTCCTTTTCCTCTTTGGCTGCTGCGGCTGCTGCTTTCTCCTCTGCCTCCTTTGCTGCTGCCGCTTCGGTCTCCTCCTTTTCCTTTGCTTCTCTCTCTGCTTTGGCTTTGGCTGCTGCTTCTACCTCTCGCCTTCTCTCGGCGGCTGCGGCTGCTTCCTGCCTTGCTGCTTCCTTGTCTCTCTTCTCCTGCTCGTCTGCTGCCGCTTCCAGAATCAACCTTGCTTTGGCAATCTGCTCCTCTTTTGCCTTCTTCTCCTCTTCTGCTTTTGCTTTTGCTTCTCTTTGTTCCTTTGAGATCTTGTCCTGTTCTTCCCAGTATTTGCGATCATTTTCATCTCGAGGTCGAAATCCTGTGCTTTCTGCTCTTGCCTTTGGCTTTCCTTTTCCTTTTCCTTCCTTCTTTCCTTTTGTTCCCTTCTCGTGCTTGTACGTGTAGTCCTTGTCGACCCACTGCTTTTCTCCTGTAACTCTGTGTTGCCTGTAGATCTCGCCGTTCTCGGAGTATTCCTTCCATTCGCTGGCGTAGTCGTAGGGGTACGGAAAAAGCTTCTTCTCCTCTTCCTTTTCCTTGAGCCTTTGCTTGCTTTTGGCGTTGATCTCCGCGATCTTCTTCTTTCTTCTCTCTTCCTTTGCTTCCTCACTTTCTTCTTCCTCTGCTGCTGCTGCTGTTCCTTCATCGGGGTACTCCCCGGGATCTTCTCCTCCAACGTAGCTGCTGACGTAGGCCTCATTCTCGTTCTCGTTGTCCTGCTCTCGTTCCTGGATGCCCTCGAAGTAGCCTCGGTCCGAATATTCCTTCCTTTCCTGGGACGTAGGTGACGTAGCTCTCGACGGTGCTGTTCCTTGTCCGTGTCCTTCACGACGTAGTTCACCTTCTAGTTCTCGGTCCTTGGCTTCTCTTTTCCTTTGTTCTTCTTCGTCTTCTTCTTCCTCTTCTTCCTGTTCCTCTTGCTGCTGCTCGTAGAAGTCCTGCATCATCTGGTTCAGCTGTTCCTTTACGGCGTCACATGTACCTAGGACGAAGGCCATGTGTTCCTTGACCTGTTGCCGGTCTCTGTCGTTCTGTTCGGCCATTTCCTGAACCTGGTGCTTGACGTCGTAGATTTGTCCTGTCAAGGACTCCACACAACCAGCCACGTGTTCCTGGCTTTTGCGCAAACGCGCAGCTTCCTCTGTGTTCTTCCTGATCGACTCCGCGATCAAGTTCCTTTCTTCTGAAGCGTTCCTTAAGGCGGTTGCCGCCTCTCTCAAGGTAGAAAGTTCCTTGAACACTTCTTCTGTGCTTTTGCTCGAACTCGCGCTTGCTTCCATGGCTGCTAAGGTTCCTGGAAGGTTTCCTTGACCTTCTGCTACCGGGCGAACTAGTTCCTGGATACCTGAGCGTTCCGCGAGTGTTCCGCAGAGTTCCTTGAGCTGCGAAAGCATCTCACAACATGTTGTTCCATGCGCTGTTCCTGCAGACGTTCCTAGCTCACATGCACTCGTGTCACTGCACATGCCGTCCTGCTCACATGCACTTGCACAACAGAAAACATGTTCCTGAAAGTCTGGCTGAAACTCTTCTTCCTGAACGCAACTCTCAAAACACTGTTCCTTGAAACTCTGAATCTGAAGACTGTCTGAAATACCTGAAATTCCTGCAAACAACAAAGCTGCAAAAGACAAAGTTCCTGGGCTCTTGATCATTCTTACAACTGCTTTAGCTTGTGTTTGGGCCTTGTGTTCCTTGAGCTCTTCTCTACCTACTGGTTCGTTCTCGCTGGTTTGAAAACCTAGCCAGTGCAACAACAGTCTGATACGCTTCGCTGAAAGGGGCTTGGTACCTATGTCGGCTGTGTTCTCCTTGGTTCCTACTGGGTGAACACTAATTGTTCCTTCTTTGTGGAGGTCTTGAAGAAAAAGGGTCCTGATCTGCAAATGCTTGACTCTTCCTACACCTTGCCTTGTAATAATTCCTCTAGCTGCAGAAGAATCCATGTACAAGTGTACCTTGCATTGTTTCCTGGTCAAGAATTCTACTGCTTCCTTCAACAATATAGAATCTGACGCTGCTGACGCTCCTGCGTAGTACTCTGCTTCACCACTGCTCAAGCTAACCGACTTCTGGTTCCTAGAAAAGGAGTAAATGCACTGACCGTCTAGGCAAACAATTCCTTTTTGCTGTAGAAAAACTCAAAACCCAAATTCAAGCGAATATAAGTTGCACTCACTCCGTAAGTATAAAAGTCAATCAACTCATATCGTATCGCATCACTCGGACCCTTCTTTTCTTTCAGGGGGCGCACCGGGTTGCCCGGCCTTAGGCCGCGGGCTAGGCGCACTGCCAACATGCCGTTCGCATGTTGGGCCAACGTAGAGCACAGCCTACGGAGTGGTGTACAACTGGAGTCGCAAGATCGGCCCCAAGCCGATCTGAAGTCTCGACGGGTGTGGTGGGAGGGTAGTCGAGACCCATCTCCCACTCTTGAGCAGCAATGTAACACGACGTGGACATTTCACAAGCTCTTCAAGAAAAATTCTTCTCTCAAGAAATCACTGCTCGAAAATACATTGCTTAAAGTGGGAGAGGCAGCACACGGGTTAGGGCATTAAGGTTTTTTTTTAGTTTTCTTCGCTCGCCGCCACGGCGGCTCGTCACGAACGCAAAAAGGTACTAGCTGTCGTCGCAGGCTAGACAGCAAAGGTACTTTTTGCTGTAGAAAAACTCAAAACCCAAATTCAAGCGAATATAAGTTGCACTCACTCCGTAAGTATAAAAGTCAATCAACTCATATCGTATCGCATCACTCGGACCCTTCTTTTCTTTCAGGGGGCGCACCGGGTTGCCCGGCCTCCCCAGAAAGTAGCAACACGGTACGTTCCCACTCAAGACCAGAGATTACAAGTCGACCAGCGGGATGCCCGAGATGGGGCATGAGCACTTAACTCGTAATGCACCCGAATCAACAAGTGCTCTGAACTCACCGCGTGACGGGTCGTCTGAAGGATTGGATGCGGAAGGGACCCTTGTCCAGTATGTCCACGATGGACCATGTTTCTCACAGCATTCCCATGTGAGAAGCAGCTCTCGAAAGTGATCACTGTTAGACGTTCCTCGCACAAAGCTGAGAAGGACAGCGTCGTTGTCAACGAAGAAAAGGCAATACTGTCCAGACATGTACTGGTGGAAAGCCTTGCGTGCCAGGGCGACAGCGTACGCCTCAACGGGTCCGATAATATGCTTCAGATGCTGCCTCCATCGGTCTGCCAAGGCACAAGGAACTTCGCAAGAAAAGAATCGGGGCCGCGCATCAGAAGGAGAGTAAAGAATACCTCCAACGGTGTTGCCAGACTGTTCGCTTGCTCCGTCCGTGAAGATCAAAACAGGCTTAGGGGCAACCACACAAGGGACTACCCTAGGGGAACCGAAAGACAGGCGATCAATGAGAAACTCGAAAGCCTCGATCTCGCGGGGACCCAGGACAAACCGGGAGGCGTGGCGTGTGGAAGCGGCTCTCAGCTCCGCCAATGCGAGCTTTCCGGTTCTCCCCATGACTTGCGCATCGGAGAACTGGACACGACCTGCAACCCTGGCAAAAGTACGCATCTTGATGCAACCTTCACTGATGCATTCACGGATGGCATCACACACCTCACTGGATCGGCCTTCCTTGTTCCTAATCCGAATGACACTTTCCTTGGCTCCTTTCAAGTCAATCTCGACCCCAAGCATGGAGGCGACGTCTGCAAATGGGTTCAATTTGTCAAGGGATGCGGAAAAACCAAGCACTGAGGACAACACAAGCAAGGTGTCCATGGTGGAACCTGAAAGACAGCACGGGCTCATCACTGGATAATCGTCAACGAAGTTGGCCCAGAACAGGAAGACTTCCAAACCTATCCGCCACAGCAACCTAGACAACCTGTTGAAGTGGAGCACGGACGATGTGCTTCCAAAAGGCAGAGCCTTACCCTCAAACAATCCCAAGTCGCCATTATCCGGATTGAGAAGGGCAACGACGGAGAAGGCACGATGGCTCGGGTTCAACGCAAATTGGCGATAAGCGTTCTTCAAATCAAAGGTGCACAGCTCAGGACACCACGACGAACCCGCCCAAGCAGGGTGCACTCGACCAACCAACGGTGGTCCGCTGGCCATGTCCAGAAAGAATTGATGCTCCGTCGTGTGAGCTCGGATCCAAAAGCGACATATTGCAATGATCTCGTCAAGTGCCCTTAGATCTAGCTTATCCCCATAAGAAAAAGAACCATTAACTAAGTTCTCGGAGTAGTCGTCAATCGGTCTCAACTTGCGCTTGCCTCCAGAAGATTGAATCACGGCGAACCGGCGCACAGGGGCCCATGCGTCGCCGTACCTTCTCGTCAGCTCTTCTTCGGTAAGTGGTCCCTCCAAGAACCCTTCGGCAACCTCAGTCAAAGTCTTATCCCACAGTTCCGAAGAATGCTCACTCAAACCCTCGGACAAAACCTTACCCAAAAGCGCCGGACGGATGTACTTACAGGCCTTAGTAAACTCGTCAGCCGTCCTTTCCTGGGGACGAGGCTCCTTTCTAAAGACACCAGTGGGCTTCTGCCAACCAACCAAACCAAAACCCTTACAAGTATCCTCAAACCATCCATCGTCGGGCCACTTCAAGTCATCAGCAATGCGTTTGAGCAAGAGAAGCCTCTTTGATCCTAACACAGACCTCACACCAGGTTCGAGGCCCTCCTTAAGTCGGGACTCTGGTTCCTCCAATTCCCTGGCCCATTCTAACCACTTGTTGAGAGTGGCCACACGTTGCCTACCAACCCACTCAGGGCCCTTCACCAAGGCCTCATGAAGCTTTCGTTTCACTTCGTCGGGGATGACAGCAAACGTCTCGAAGGGATGCCGTAATCCTTTGGCCTCCTCCAGAAACTCATCCGGTGTTGCATACACACCAACACTAAGTTCGAAGCCACCCGACTCCCCCGTCTCCTCAGTGGCGAGAAGTTTGGAGCCTGCGGGGATGTCACCGATGGCGTGCTGCAAGCAATTTTTATGATCCACAGGCGGAATCTGTGGCACACGACATCTGCAGACGCGACCAAATTCTCTGATGAGGCTCGCACCAAGTTTACCCCGACGCTGCTGTGTGACAGGCGGAGGGCTGGACTGCAGCGGAGACAAAAGGGGGTCAAAGCCACAGTGTTTGGCCACGGCGTGGGCAACCTGCTGACAGAAAAGCCTGGGATGAGTATCAACACCGCCAGTCACAGGCGTGTGACTGTGATTACCTTGGCACACTTGTTGTAAACACTTGAGTGCACTACAAGACGTTAGCAGTTGCCTCCGCAAGCGATGCGGAGAATCGAAGGCACACAAATCGTACACCACGGGAGTGGTGTTGGTGAGCTGGCGCACAGCAGGCATATGCCACAGGAAGCTGGACTGCGGATGCTCAATGGACCAGGCGATGCCCATTTGTTGAACTCGTTTTAAGAAGGTGATGGCATGTTCCAACAAGGAGTCGGCCAATGCGAGCCTTTGAACCTGAGAGGCGTCGGCGCCTCCTACAGGAACTACAGATCCATGGGACAGTCGTCGGAGGCCCTGCTTAGGTCCATAGGTGGCATACGGCAGATCAATGTGCACGTACCGAACATGATAGTTGTCAAGCACATGCGAAAGATACTGCCACGAGCTCGGCAAGGCAAGATCCAGTGAGCACAACTTGGCCAACGGAAGCCGGTGACTTCCCCTATCTATGGGCATGACCTCAAAGCCAATCTGATGAAAGGCTCGGGACAAAGAGCCTGCACGGGCAAACAGCTCGAGCACAATACCAGGCTGGTCAACCGGCTTGGCCTGAACCTGACCAGTAGACACTACGGAATCTGCTACGGGGGCTAAACCCGACTTGGAGGAAGCTAGAGGCGGGGAAGTCACTGGTTGTGCGAGGCCGAGTGGTTTTGGAAACTCATCAGTAGCACACCCCCCGGTAACGACCGGCGCTTCATAGCAAACCGGAGGTGACTGTTCGGCATCAAGAATGTCGGCTTGCATCGGGAGCTGAAATTCCAAATCGGTCAGTGTGGCACTATCAGTCTCACTAAGGTGATCAATGGCGGAGACTGAAAAAGCAACTAACACCACTCTATCACCCGACCAATTCCTAGTGGCGTGAGTCAAACGTCGAGCGGTGAAGACGGCATGACTCCCATTCAAGCTGAGTTCGACTCCACTGCGTAGTTCGCCATCAACATCGCACCAAGCTTGGCCGCCTGGTCTCTCAACCCACACCTGTCCCTGATCGAAGTCAGACAGTGCACACACAGCATTGGGCAAAGAAGAATTATGCGCATCCACATGAGGTGTGGTTTGAACGTTGCGAAAGAATGCTAAGCTCGTGAACTTTAAGCTGGGCAGCTGCTGTCGCACAAAGCGCGCGGCCAACTTTGTCACATTCGGGAAGAGCAAGACATTACGTCGCAGCCCAACCTTGACTCTGCAATAGGCACCTGTCGAGAAGGAGACCCCTTGTGATGGGTCACCTCGGACGGAAGCCTCTGTGGGGAGTGATTGGAAGATCTCAAGTAAATCAGTGGGGGAAACAACACCAGCATTGTTCAGCAGGGTCAGAGCTCGATCCTCGACCGAACCCTTGAATTCGTGATCAAGACTTGCGCTACTGATCGACTCAATTTCATCGATGGCCTTGACCTCATCAGCCTGAAGATTGGTTTGAAGTGAAACGCGTGCAATCTTGGGAGCAGGAGCCTGGGCCCCTAGTCACTCGGTATTGCGCTTTGGGCAGTTGGGGTAGAAGTGCCCGGGCTGGTAACAAAAGCAGCAAACGTGAGCACCCCTGAAGCACTTGTTGCCTGTCAATTGCCTAGTGCATTTGCCCCTCTGAGCATCAAAGCAAATGGGCACTCCTTTCGGGGTGTTTGCGTGCCCGTCCTTTAGGTCCTCTGGCATGGTCACCTCGCGGCGCGACGGTTGCTTACCCTTACCAGAACCTTTGCCCCGACCTTTGCCACGGCCATACGGAGTGGGTCTTTCAAAGGGAATCTTAGCGGGAGGAGGCGACGCGAGAGGAGCGAGCAAATGAGACACCTCGGTCAAATCGGCGCAACGCATCCACGCCCCGTCCAATGGACGACCGGTCTCCGTGACTTGCACTCCACTGCGACACTCATTAGCAGCGGTGACAAACAATTGCTTATCGGCTTGAAGCAGCTGCTGTATGCTGACTCGGGTGTATCCCGAAGGCACCTCACGATATCTGGAGTGCAACAGGCGCTCAGCCCATTTCTCATGTTCTTTGAAACCTAACAATCCGGCCTGTTCCATCGCGAGTCCTCGCCGAGTGAGGGCGAATTTAAGTAACAAGTCAGTGCTCAAGTCGGCCTCACCTCGAATGTCGGCGTTCTTGATGTGGACATTACCGCTATTGTCAACTGTGAGGGTACGATCCTCCTTGTCCCGGGAATTCCGAGTCTCATCGTCCTTGCTCATGCACCAACTCAGCGGAAGATATGTAAGGCGATTGTTTTCATACATTTGACAACACTTGTCCACTGACCTGTCACTCGGTTCATTAGGCCCGGCGATAGTCAAGCCTGGATACCGCACCACTTGACGAGCCAGACGATCTGCTCGGTCAGGAGCGGCAAGGCTCCTCGCTGGTGCATCGGTGGTGCGCTCAACCTGAGATTTAAGCTCGGCCGCGACCAAAGCAAAGGCCTCAGAGTGCAATCGGCGCAGCACCGAAAGCTCCCCCACGGTAGCATCCCTCTTCAACAAGTCCTTTATGGAAGTCACAAAAGGACCCTCATCACTCTGACCCGGAATGAAGCTGCTCACATACGCAAATTTGGCAAGAGTGTTGACGCCACCATCGACAAGCAGCTGAAGCACCTCAGCTTTCAAGCCGAGCTTCGCAGCCCGGGAGCTAAAATTGGCCTCACTCTCAGTAATACTCATGGTTCCAGCTTGAGCCGATCTGACTCTCGCGAACCCATGTGGTCCCCATCGTTGTTGATCACAACGATTTGCAAACAACTCTCTACCGACACTCACACATCGCAACGTCGCTCAAGAATTGTTTCACCTCCACTCGTGTCGAGTCACCTTCAAAATCGCGATGCCACTGACATCCCATCACCGTGACACGCAGGGCCCATGGGCACACCGCACCGATGTGAAGTGTACAATCCTTGGCGCTGGCACGGTACACTGTTGCAACAACATGTGGACAAAACGCACGGGGCCGACACGGCACACCGTGATCACGCCAGGACCGTCCCTTTCACATCATCAATGTTCTGTCGTGGCGGGGTCTCGCTGACACACCGTTGACCCGACATGTGATACGACTCGGGGCAAAATGCACACCGATGACATTCTGACGCGGGGATAGCACACCGGTCATCGACCTCGGTCGGGGCCGCAACGGCACACCGTCCTCAGTATCCCTCTGTGTCACGCTCGCAAAACACAAATCTCAGCTCTGATCCCCTCTAACCTGCTCTCCAACAGCAGGCTCGACACTGGAATCTGTTTTGACAGAGTTGAAGCACCTGGCACACACAGGGTACAGAAACGATGGAACAGCTGCCACCTTCTCGTAGTTCTTCGTGCAGGTCCTGCCGCAAGACAGAGAAGTTCCGCCCTCGTCGGCAATCAAGTGCAGCATGCGTGAAGACCGATTGCGAACCAAGTGCTCTGCCTTCAACTCGCGCTTAGGCGCTTCCTCACACCAACCATCCACGACCCCGTCCAGCGCTAGCTCGAGCTCCTGACAATCGGTCTCGGCATCCTCTTCATCAAGAGACGCCTCTGAGGAAGCTTCGTAGTCGTAGCTGGCGTTGGGGTCGTCCTTCGTGGGGAAGTACCCGCTCCGGGTACTGTCCGGAACAAAAGTCCCTGACCTAATGGCCGCGAGGACTTTCTCGAGCACCCTGACCGATGCTGATACGGCATCGCGGCTGTATACTTGGGCGCTGCGGTCGCCCGGAGCCGTGTGATACCCCAACACTCTCTGATCATAGCTGTCGATGCCGAATCTGGCACACCAAGATAGACAAGTCGCTTTACATGAGTGCGTTCCAATAGGGGAACACTGAGCCTCAGAAAATCCGCACTTGCGGAGCACGTTTCTCAACCATCCAGCAGCGACCGAAGCACTCGGAGGATGACTAGCCCAGTGTCCGGTGGTCAAAATCGCAGGCAGGACGGGCAGCCCCTCTCCAACAGGGACATTCAATTCCTTTCTCAGCATGGACCACGCCTGGAACCAATCTTCGCCAGCGATACCCTTGCGTGGACACACCATCGGCAGCAGCTGAGTTTTCCTCTCAGTGGTGTAAGATGTCTTGCTGCGTGCGATGTCGGCCTGAAGGTAGCCTCCAAGCCCAGACGGGTCGACCTGCGGCTTGTCCTCGCTGACATTGTACATGTTCTGTGTATCAGAATACCTGGCCCTCATAAAAATCGAGAGCAAGAAGAATCCAGCTATGAACCGATCAATGCGATCCCCATCGGGGGAAACTACGAACCTCTCAAGTCGCTGTACCATCTCAGTCGACAACGGTGGGCGCTGGACCCTCTTCCGCTTTGTCAAGTAGCATGCCCTGGCCACACCACTCAATCTCATGCTAGCCATCGCCTCCTGAGCGCTCTCCGCTCCAAGAATGAAGAAACAAAAGGTCACCGCGCTCAGGAAGCTTTTGAGGAAACTCGGCGAGCATGTATGTTCGCACTCACAAGCAAACTCGTACATGTCATCCTCCTTGAATGGAAATGCCAAGACTGCATGCCTATCAGCCCATGCCACGTATCGTATGAGCGGATCAGCCCGACTGTGCAGAGTTCCAACTGCCTTGCCTGCGAACACATGTCGCAGCGACCTTGACACTTGGACCCCGACAGGTGCTAGTGACGTGACCTTCCGACCCACATCGAAAGACTGAGGGCTCCTGAGTACAAGAGCAGTCCACTTCCGAACGGCCGCCACCAGTCTCTTCTCGGTCTGGTTCTCCCAAGAAATATCATGACGTACACGAGAGAATCGATGTGCAAAAGAGACAGCCGGCTGTTTGGGAACCGGAACAGAAATGTTGCTGCTCACAGGAACGAGGGGTAGTGGCCCCCTTCCCAAAGGTACACTGAAATCAAGCAAGCTATTTCGAAATTCAGGTGTCTCCCAAGGCATCCTAAAAGCCGAGCCCTGAGAAGTTCGCAAACATGTGCTGAGATGAGCATCGTAAGCAGAGTCGCTGGCCGTCCTCTGCCTCTTTGCACTTTCTTCGGATGCCATCCTTCAAGTGCTGCAGGCCACCGCTCGCCCCCAAAACTCGGCCCAAGCACTAACGCAATGGTTCTGCCTCGGGCTGCGAATCAAGAGCAGGTTGGGCACAGAAGAAGCTAGCACGGATTTGCCAGCTTGCGTGAAGAATTTGCAGGCGCTCAACAGAGGAAAGGCAGGCCCAAATCAAGCTGGCAATATCTCTCAGCTGAATTGTCCTGGCCAAAGCGGCCTGCATGGCTGGGCCCACCTCTATAGTCGAGACCCATCTCCCACTCTTGAGCCAAAATGGCTAGTCGAGACCCATCTCCCACTCTTGAGCAGCAATGTAACACGACGTGGACATTTCACAAGCTCTTCAAGAAAAATTCTTCTCTCAAGAAATCACTGCTCGAAAATACATTGCTTAAAGTGGGAGAGGCAGCACACGGGTTAGGGCATTAAGGTTTTTTTTTAGTTTTCTTCGCTCGCCGCCACGGCGGCTCGTCACGAACGCAAAAAGGTACTAGCTGTCGTCGCAGGCTAGACAGCAAAGGTACTGAAGATGTTGAGCGCCTTGTGTCCTTCTTTCCTGCCCAATCTGAATCGCTGAAAACTTCCAAAAGGTGGTGTTCCTTGGGCCTTATTCCTGTAAAGTCGTAGTTACCATTCCTGATGGATTCATGGAGATTACTGAGTCCTCTAGGCGTTTTCCTGTACACTAAATGGTATCCTTCAGTTCTCGACATGTACTGCACTAGGTGGACTAAGTGTTTCCAAGAACCATGTGTTGGTTCCGACATCTTGGAGGCCAAACCTCTCACGGCAAACTGCACGTCAGGGCGGTCCTGACTGACATACAAGAGTATGCCAACGCTTTTCCTGAACGATGCCGCTTGTTCCTGGTTCAAGGTCTGAGTGTTGTCCTGTTCCTGCGACTCTTGGGTGCACGGAGTTGGCTTCGAGGCTTTGCTGGTAAGCTTCAGTTCTTCCTTAAGCTTCACAAGATACTTCGGGTCACTCGTGATGTGGAGCTCGTGATTGTGGTAGCTGAATTTCCTTTTAAGGAATCGGATTGTCTGGTGTGACTCTCCTACCTCAAGTTCCTGCTCTGTCAAGAAGGGGCCTTCAACCTTTAGCTCGTAGGTTTCTCCTAGCTTTCCTAGCTTGGGCTCTAGGTGCCTTGTTTTCCCTGCTGCCTGAATGTCATCTACATGCACAACAAGTATGCTGTTCCTGTCGTCACGAAACAAAGTAGGGCAAGCTTTGCTCCTATCAAAGTTCTGCTCTTTGAGGGTTCCTGCAAAATGATCACTCCATAGTAGTGCTGCATCTCGCTGTCCTGGAAGTACTCTCAGCAGTAACAAACCTTCGTTCCTACAACTAGGGTCCTGGTCGCCAAACAGATCCACATATTCCTTCGGGAATTGACATGCACATCGCGTCCTTTGTGGGACCTGCAAGAATGCGTCCTTGACATCAATGGAGTACAGGGAATGTTCCTGTTGTAATCCTAAGATCGGGATAAGTCTCACCAACGATGCGCTCGTAGCTGGGCTGAACGTGTCGTTCCTTACTTCTGCTCCTTTGAACTCTCTCGCTACTAACCTAGCTCTCCGCATCCATCGGCCGTTCCTGAATCGCCAATCGAAGACGAATTTCGTCGTCAACCACTTTGTTCCTTGGTTGCTCTCTTCTTCTTCTGTCTCTCTCTCCTCTTCTCTCTCGAGTTCTTGCAAGGGTTTCCTTGCCAGTGCCTTCATCTCGGTGAGTCTGTTGATCTCTGTGAGCATTGCCTCACGATCCAGTTCCTGCAACTGGGCTTCTGCAACTTCTGGAGGTCCAGAATCTTCGCTCTTGAAGATGTCTTGTTCCTCATCGGAATCGCCAATGTCCGAATATGAATCTTCCCAGAAAATGTCCTCTGTACCTGGTTCTGCTTCAGGTAGTTCTTCATCATTGTGCTCAAATACTCTTCCTACGTTGAACGGAGGGTACTTCTTCTTCGGAGAATCAATCTTCGGGATCTTGGAACCTGTTCCTACATCATCAAATTCCATTTTCCTAAGAGGTGCTGGTCCTCTAGCTGAAAGAAGCTCACTTGCCATTGCGCTGTCTGGGATGAGTTCTTCTTCTGAGGCTGCGTCCATTTCCTTACTGCTGCTACTAGAAGACGTTGGGTCTGAAGCTGCTTCGTCGTGTTTGTTTTGGTCGTATTCCTGCTCAAGTTCTTCTTCTGCTTTTCTCTTGCTCTGTGCCTGCTTCGCTTTGCTCTCTAAGTAGGTTGTCCTAGTAGGTCCTGACTTCCCTGCAGAGTCCCCGCCTTGGATGACAATCGGTCCTGCGATCGGTCCTGAAGGTGCGGAAGGTGCCGAGTCCTCGACCGACTGTTCCTGAGCTGCTCCATCCATGACAGGTGGCGCCTCTGCAATTGGTCCTGGGATATTCTTCCTGGGAATGTTCCTTGTTGCCAGTGTAGTGTGCTTCACTTCCCAAGTGTGAATTCCTACGCTACTTATTCCTTTCACGTCGAAGTGTTCCACGCAACGTTTTGCGCTACGGCTTGTCTTGATGCCGTCCATGTGCCACGTAATGAAGAGGTTGTTGTCTGTTTTTCCTAAAAACACTCCTCTCAACCAAATAGGGTCACCTTTCCTATTGGCACGTGTTCCTGAACGATTGGTCAAAACCAAAAGTGATTCGCCAAATTCGGCGAGTTGGCCCTCATAAGGCCTTCCTGCCATAAATTCATACGGAGTCATTCCTGTGGAGGAATGGCGATGGTACCTGTTCAAGGTCCATGCCGAGTGCCTGAAAGCCCAACTGAAGATTGGATGAGTATGAGCAATATATGTTCCTGTTCTGTGTTCAAGGTGCCTAATCAGGGTTGTTCCTTGTCTCCTAATGGTTTGAATTGCTCTCTCTGCCATGCCGTTGGTTTCCTTCTGGCCACTGACTGCGTCCTGCAAGACTGTTCCTAGACCTAAAGCTGCTCGCTGCTTCTGGATGACCTGCTTCAGCTTCATCATTGTTCCTTCGTTGTCTGCCTTCAAGTTGATGGTTCCATATCCAAGCTGAGTACTCAAGTAGGTCACTCCTTCGCAAAGGTGCTCTACAAGATCTTTTCCTTTAGATGCTGTCGGGATACAGACCATGTTCCTACTCCAAGAATCAACACACACAAGACTAACTGCCGCTGGTGCCTCATCATGACTTGTTCCTGTAAAACAGAAATCCATACAGAAAGTTGGTCTTGAAGATCTTTCCTTCTCTGGGTTCTCACGAAGGTGTGGAGACTCTTTTCCTTTGCATGCTACACACGTCGGACACCACGATGCATAAGGTAAGTGTGTGAGATTATGCACTGCAACTTCCTCCGGCTTTGGCTGTTTGGGTACCTTCAGAGGTTCAGCTTCTAGAAACTCTTTGTACTTCTTCTGGCCTGAAACAAGTTCCATGTGCCTTTCTGCTTCCATAATGGATCTACTGAGCCTTCTGAGAATCTCTTGCTTAGAGCCAGCTTTTGAGACTCCTAGTTCCTTGCACAACTCTCTCAGGGCCTTGAGGCTGTTCTGCTGATTGTACTCATGACCGTTGAATGTAAAAGACAATTCTCCTGCAAGTTCATGCCTGTGTGCTGGTGCTTGGGCCTCTGAGGTCTCTTCCTGTTCTTCTTCCTGTTCTGGAATCGTGTCCAGTTGGTGAACCTTCTGTTTTGGTCTTCTGGCCTTGGGGTTCACTGGTTCAATGAGTTCGAATACACTGCGTCCTGTCCAGGATAAACCTCCTAGTGGTTCTGGGTCTCTGTGAGGCTCATCCAAAGTCCAGAACTTGTCATCCTCAAAGAAATCCTTATTGACCGGTTCTTCTCCATACGTGTACCTGTCTGGTTTGAGGTTTCCAATGTCTACTGGAATGTCATTGGTATCTCGAGGATTGAACAAAGTCTTCCTCAACGAGTTGTGGTACCTCGTGAGTGTAGTGCCATCCATGCTGATTGACCATGCATCCTCAGTGTACTCTTCAAACATCTTTCGATCCTCATCTTCCTTGGGGGTGCCTATGAGGTTCAGTGGAAATTCCTTGAGCGATACTAGCGTAAGCGTGCGGTACTCCTTACTGCCATCGAAGATTGTTCCAAACGGTTCCTCAAGTTCCTCAAACATGATGCTGTGATGCAACAGATACCACTGATCATCATCCTCAATAAGCACTGCTCGATATGCGAACTTTCCTGGTGGAAACATCAAGTAAGTATCAACGTGTTCTGAGGTTCCTAGGCTGAAGTGGACTTGGTAAGGGTCTCGCCAGTTGGTCCAACCTACACGCTGTTCTTCAATGAGTTCCTTCAAGTTCTCGCACAAGTACATAGGGATAGGTTTTGCTTCTGCTTCCCAGTTGACTGCTCTCACAAAGGCTTTTGTTGTAAGTGAGTTGTTGTTGTAGTTCACTGCGATCTTGGTTGTTCCTTCTGTTAGGAAAGTGCCTGTTGCTGTTCCATCTCTGAACTCCCAGCCTTTCTTCAACAGTTTACCTACTGCCAAAAGAGGGTGCACAACCGATGAAATCAAGAACACTTCTTCAACCTTCACAATGTTTCCTTGAACATCCCGAAACTCAACCTCAATGATCCTTTGGTCTGAAACCTTGATCCGAGATCCTTGTGCATCTCGCAAAACTACCTTGGTAGTGTTGGGTGCCTTTCTTCCATACTTCTTCATCCACATCGGTGCCAACGAAATGTCGGCTCCTGAATCCAGCACGACCTCGATCTCTCGAGTTCTCGCGTTCCTTGCTGCACGCGCAAACCTGGTGATGGTCCTTGAGGGTGCTGTTCTCTCCACTCTGTTCCTTCTAGGAGGATGGTGACATCCGTTCTCACATTCCTGCATGTTTGGGTGCCACGGTGTTTCATGACATCCATTGGGACACTCAAAGTAGTATCCACGATCCTGAGTTCCCACCGGAGTTCCTGCTAGATGCCAGTGCAACCATGCATCATCACTCACCTCATCACAGTCCTGAAACTCATCATCTTCATCACCAATCCAAAACTCTTCTGTCTCACTCCTCTCTTCCTGAACTTCTTCACCAACAACCCGCAAAACTCTTCCGAAGTACTCAATCTCTATCTCTTCAGAGTTCTCACTCAGTGCGAATTCCTCCGGAAAGCTTGTGGGCTCGTCTCCCATGTGGTACATGGAGACCATCCTAATCACTGGTCTTTGGGTTCCTTGGCTTGCTTGGCTTGTTGAGGTCTTGTTGGCTGACGAAGGGGCCTGAGTAGAAGTACCTGTAGTGCTCGCTTGCTCGCTCTGGTTTTCAAGGTCAACGTTCCTGGCCTGGTAACCCATGTCACGCATTTTCTGTCTGCACTGTGCTTCGAAATGTCCATATTTGTGACAGTAGTGACACACTCCTGTAGCTGCTTGTGCTTTGCCTTTACCTTTTCCTTTGTGTCTGAAGAAACCTCTTCCTCGACCTTTGCCTTTTCCTTTGTAACCTCTGAAACCTCTACCTCGGCCTTTCCAGTTGCCTCGACCTCTGCCTTTGCCAAAACCTCCGAAACCTTTACCTTTACCTTTGCCTTTGCTGTCAAAGCCGTAACCTTTTCCAAAGTCCTTTCCACCTTTCTTGCCTTTTCCTTTACCTTTGCCTTTATGGTGAACATAACCTTTGCCATAGCCTTTCTTTCCTTTGTACCATGCTTGGTTGATATCCATTGCTGCAAGACCACCATGGTCATCACCTTTGTCGATCAAGTCTGTTGTGGTTCGGTGAGGTGTTCCTTGCTGGGCTGCAAAGAGTTAGTCCAACGCTCGGTTGACTCATAGTTCACAAGGTACTGACGAAGAGTATTGTACTGTGTCTTCTCATCCATGTTGAGCAACAAGTGCCTTTTCACGTCAGGTTTCATACCTTGAATAAGAGTAGATACTTTCAAATTCTCTTGTACCTTTTCTCCAGTAGCCTTCTCGTACTTCTCGATGTGTTCCTCATATTCGAGGATATTCTCAGCAATTCCTTTGTTGTGAGCGAATTTGTAGTTGAGAATGTTGTGAAACAACTCCAACGATCTTGCACGATTCGTTGGTTGATATTCCTTGAGTAGCATACGGTAAGCTTCCATACCGTTCTCTTCAGCTACATGCTTTACAACTCGGTACGGCCTTCCTTTAGTGTATGAACAAAGAACACTGTACAGGCGTCTGCTTGTTTCCTTTGCTTCTGCAGACATCTCAGCCATCTTCACTTGCTTATCATCTTTTAAGTTCCTTTCGGCGATGTCCATGATCTTCACCATGTTGGAATCCACTGCTCCAAGCCAGATCCGCATCCTGTTCCTGAACTCTGTCCATCCACTCTTCTCTTCTTGCCATGTTCCTGGGGAAAATGCTTCGGGGCTTTTAATCAGCTTGTGCAACTCCACTTCTCCAGGCTTTCTTTGTTCCTTTACTGCTTTCTCCAGAGATGCTCCTATCTCCTCAAGTGTCGTTGCTGCGTTCGTGTGGGCGTCTGCCAACGCTGTTTGCGCTGTCTTCTGCTGCTCCTGAACTGCTGTCAGGGTTTCCTGGAATGCTTGTGTAAGTCCTGCTTCTCTCTGACTTCCTGAAGCTGCTGAGTTCCTGATCTCCTCTGCTAGTGTTTGTATTCCTTGTAAGGTCTGTGCATTGATCTCGGCAAGTGCCTTCAATGCATCCTCCATTCCTTTTGCTGTTTCAAGGTTGCTGTACACTAGTGCTGCTAAAAGTAGCGACTTGCACTGTTTCCTGCACACTGCTTGTGCTCTCCTTTCTCCTCTTGTCTTCCTTTGGTGCTTTGAGCGGTTGCTTGCTCTTGCGAAAAACACACTAGAATAGTACGACAGGGTGATCCAAGTAATCAGTCCCATTGGGGTTCCTAAGAACACTGCTATGCGAATTCCTTGAAATACAACTCTGTTGGAAATGACTTCCTGAACTATCACATGCACGACGTCGTGAAACTTCTTTCCTACAGTTGCTAGCTTTTCTACGAAACTGTGAACATGTTCCTGTACAAATTTCCTCAGTACTTCTCGCTGTTGTTTTACTAGGTACCTAGGGGCGTAGCCTGACTCAAGGCTCTCACTCTCCTGGTTCTCGGTGTTCTGGTTGCCGTTCCTGTTCTCTTCCGTGTAGTACTCGCCGGTCACGCTAACGACGCTGTAGAGCTCGTTCATCACTTGGTTCATGCACAACAAAGCGTACGGTACCATGACTTTTCCTATCTCCACATAGTCCTTAATCGTGTACGCGTTCGTGTTCCTGATCGTGTTCACGTTGGTGCCGTCGGGGTTCACGCTGCACTCGTTGTAGCCTTGCTGGTAGTACTCGCCGTACACGTCATAGTTCCTGTAGCGGTTCCGGTGCGTATTGGGCTTCCTTCTGCTCGACCACACTGCCATGAGCTCGCTCTCGTCACTCTCTACGTAAGTGAGTTCCTTTCTCCCACGGCTCGCATCCTTGGAGGGTAAGGCGTCTCCAAGGGCAAGTTCTTCCTTGGTCTCCACGTTGTTGCCAAGGGCCTGCCACGGTCTCACCGCCATACTTCCTGCTCCTGGGACCAAGATCATCCCGCACAAAGTTGCGAGGCTTCCCAGTGCGAAACCAACCAGCAGCACCATACATGCTGCCAAACCGTAGCACTTCATGTTCCTTTTCTCTCTCTCTTCCACCAACACTCGGTCGGGGTAGCAATCGCTGCAAGCGTCAAAGTCTCGCGCGTTTCCTGCTGTCACGTTGTGGTTGCGAAGGTGTCCACAACCTCTGCGGTGGTACTTTGTTCCTGAACGGACTGCGATCCTGAGCGTGGGCATGTTGAGCACTGTCTCCGTCTTCTTGGTGATCTGCTCATTTGCGCGCATCTGCTTCCATCCGGCAACGAGGCAAACTGCCATGGCGCCGAGCATCATGGTTCCTATGGCTACGAGTAGCATCATCGCTGCCAAGGAGGTTCCTGGAGGCAGCTCCGCTACCATGTTAAAGAACGGGCTTCACTAAGGGTTCCTACCCACAAAGACTGTCGGACACTTTTGTTCCTGGGCACGGTGTGTCCTGGGGTCTCGAGCCTGCACGTCGCGTGTGCGTGACGGCTGTTCCTGTACATTAACTGTACTGCACTAGCTGTGTTACTGTTCCTGGCAGAATGTTTAACAATCCTGAGATCATGCCAATCAAGTTCCAGCTCAGATGCAAGATCGATCTTGACAGCCTGTTGAAAGCAAACACAGATGATGATGCACCGAAGGGTAAACTCTGGGCCACGAAGTAGCAAGGCTTGCCGCTGTTAGGGTCCGTGACCATGACGACCCCCAGTCGTAGCGACTCCGTTGAAAGTGGAACTTGACGATACGCTTTTTCCAACTCCAGTGTTCGCCCCTGCCAGACGGGCTTCTTAGCTTTCCAAGAAGAGTGCAGCTCTCCGCGTAGAATTTCTCCCGTGCTGAGAACAATCTCCAAAGCGCCAGTTCCATCCGAGACCCGCGCGATGTAAGTCGCCATCGCCGTCATCCAGTTGACATCAAACAAGGCGAGCTTTTCGAGGCTATGGTAAGCTTCGTTGACCCCGCCCTCCTTGTAGTTGTCGATCGGTCGAAGTTTGGGCCTCTCCGGCGTGCCCTGCTCGATGACGAACCTTCTCGAATTTCACTTCGTCCTCATCGTAGAACGGCCCTGTGAGAAAGCCGTCGTCCCGGTCCTTTAGAGTGCAATCCCAGAGTTGCCAGGTCGCCTCCGGATCTTTCTCGTGCGGATCGCGGCCCTTGAGCCTCTCTCTGCGCCAGCGAGCTGATTCAAGGAGAAGCTCAGGTGTGGATGTAGCCGGCGATTCCTTGGTTTCAAACAAGGGTGATTTGTCTGGCTTGCCCACCAAATCGACGCCCATCATCAAGTCGAAGACTCCTTCATCAGGAAATTTGGTCTCCTTCAGCAATTGTGCCCATAGCAGAAGGTTCTTTCCCTTGATGAGTTCGCGAGTGTGGTCAGGCAGGGTTGAATGCAGTCGCGCCTCCTCGTAGCGAAGTTCTTTCTCCATCTGGTTGAGCCTGTTGAAAAGTCTGAGCCTCTCTTCAGCGAAAGCAGATGGTCCTTCGGTCAGCCGTCTGAAGATGTTCCTTTTGACGGCATCTGGGACGCAGTGCTGGGTGTCAAAGGGATGGCTGAGCTTTAAGGCACAATCAATGAACTCGGTAGGCGTTCTGTACACCCCGAACCTCCCGGAACCACCCCCTAAACCCGAGGTAAACTCCTTAAAGGGCCTATCTAGGGGAGCCTCGGTGCGAAACTCGAGGAACTCAGGGATTAGCTTGTGGCTCCCACGTGGTTGGGGCCAGACAGCGCGTGACCTGCCGGCGGTTCTAAGCAGGATGGCAAACCCGCTGTCGCCGCCAGCAGTTGCGACACCTCCTGGCAAAGTTGAGGCGGATATTCCGCCTCTTCAGCGATACTGAATCTCCACTGTCGGCCGGTCTGATAGACCAGGTAGGGATCGTGCCTATGTTGATTGTCGCACTCCACAGCCATGCTAGACAAGCGAGAATCACTGCAACGAAAGCGACTGTGCTTGGGTCGTCGACCTCCCTTCATGCAATTATGAAAGCGCACGTCTATCATGCGACGCCATTTCTCGAGTAGGGCAGGGTCTCGAGATTCTTGCACGAAGAAAGCTAGCACTCCCCAAATCCAGGAATTATTGGGATTCTCGATGCTCACAAAGGTGGAAGAAGGTAAGGCACGAATCAGCTCGACAACGAAGCGACACAGATCGTTGGCCTTGCGAACCCAGGCCTTGTCGGTGTCCGACAGGTTCGGTAAGCCCAAAATGTGATCGTTGTCCCTCAACGGGACAGGCTCCGGGGCACCTGCCAATCTCGCCTTCTTGCTTATGGGCCTTTCTCGGGCTCGGCTACCCGTACCACAGGGCAAGGCAATGTGAATGGCGAATGGGGGGTGCAGCAGTAGCCTGTCCAGGAGCTGCTTTTGGCACACGGTTTCCGTAAGGTCCAGCACAAGAAGCGGGTGTTCGGGTGCATGACGGTTCCAAGGGGAGTCAACCGCTAAAACCTCAAACCCCAAAGCCTCGCAATGCTTGGAAAGGCGCGCGCAGCCGGCGAAGATCTCGACGAAGAGAGGCTTGCAGGAGTCAGCGACAGCAAGGGAGGGCTTAACGGCGGGATGGGCCTGGGGCCCTCGGGGGGCAAGGGAAACTCCAAGTTCTCAAGGAATGTGCGCGTCTCCTGAGGCATGCAATCGGTTCCTTGGGCCGTGTATCCCACTAGAATACTGCGCTCGCCCTTCCAGGCTAAAGTGGCATGTCGGCAGTTCGGCGCATCAAGATAGCAAAGCCCCTGGGACACCGGCAGGGAGTCTCCCCAGAGAACCTCGCCCCGGTGTTCGAAAGGAACCTTTCCCTGATGGGACTCGATCCAGACGTCTCCTTCAGAAAATTTGGAGAGCGGATAAAGAAGGTTGCAGCTTCGCGAATCGTTGGCGGTATCTTGGTGAAGCTGTTTTTGAAGGTTTGTGAAAACTGCAATGGTTGTGCAAGTAAAATCCTTGTCAAGCTGACGCACGAATCTGGCAAAAACTTTGGTGCTCAAGGGGTACTGCTTGCTGGTGTCACGCACACGCAAGCATTGCGATCCTGAAAAAGCAGAAGCCCCCAAACTAACAGAGCGCCCTCCGGAACCGGTTCCTCGGGAAGGGATTTCAGAAGGCAAAGCTAAACTAAGACGTAGCAAATCATCCGAAGTAACAGTGGGCCGAGCAAGGAGCTGGTCGGCCAACTCCTCGGCCGCAAGACGCCTGCCACCGGTCTCGTCATCCCTGAATGAAGGAGTCATCACGCCGGCAGCTGCAGAATCTGGTCACTGAAACTCCGGGCACTCGGAAGCCGGATGCGGTTCCAGGCACCTCCAGCACAGATGGCGGCCACGGCGACAGCGCTTGCCGGGTTTTGCGAACCCGCAGCCCTTGGTGTTAAAGCTGAAACACAGCGGCTTGCCGGTCGAATCCTGCGAGTGGCAACCCTGCGGGACGCTCCACTTCTTGGCTCCTGAGTCACTGGGTTTCTCCGCTCCGGGGGTGTCCTTGCGAATCTTCAGAGCTTTCTGATTTTTGTCCTTGCCGCCCCCTTTCCCGTCCTTGTTGGGTGGGATGTTGGGCGTGTGTGGATTCGGCGATGGAGGCGGTGATCGCATCAGCGGAAGGTAGCACTGAACTTGCGTGTGATCCTTCCACTTTGCAAGCGAGGCCTCAAAGGGGTACGAGCCATCTGAGCGCATAGACAGTGAGCCACGCGTATCCTCGGCGATCCTCGTCCACAGAAACTTGTCGGCTTCACGAAGCTGAGCAATCGAAACTCATTGATGGCCTGAAGGCTGGGAGCGCATATGCACTTGCAGCAGCTGGTCGTGCCAGGACTCGAGGTACTCGTAACGGCAGACTCTGGCCAGTTCGAAGGCCAAACTCCTCCGCTGAAGTGCCAGCTTAACGGCGTATTCGCCGATGGTACTGCAGGAAGGCTCGGTCGACCGTTTCACGAGCTTGAGGTTCCCGGCACTGTCGAAGCTGACCGCCTGATCGGTTTTGTCAGACGTAATTTCCAAAGCTCGGCTTGTGAGGCGATCCCACGGAATCCAGAGCAAGGACTGATCAGACACCATCTGAGCAACCAAGCCTTGTAGCTTGTGGGAAGGCTCAATGTCAGAGGTCCAGTGAATACCCACAAGTCTCTTCTGAAGAGCAGCAAGGCGTTGTGTGCGCTCGGCCAAAGGCATCCGAACTGGTTCAGAAGCGTCGGTGCGCTCGACCTTGCCACGCATTTCAGCGAGAGCCTGAGTGGTGCTTTCGAACCACAGGCGGCGAGCGATGCTCAGAAGCCCGTCGTCCGGCGCTGAACCCAAAGCACGTTTCAGCATGCTGATGAGTGGACTCTCATCGGTCGTGCCAGCTTGAAGAGGCCCGATAAAGGCTAGGGCTCCGAACGTGTCCACATTGATGGCTGCGAGCTTGGTCAGGGTCTCCTCGGGAAAGTTGAGCTCGATTGCCCTGGCCTTAAAGGCCGCCTTGCTGTCGAGGCTGGACATGGTTCACACGGCAGCCGGCTTGAACAAAACTGCACATGTGGACAAGAGCTGTAGAGGACTCCAGACGCTCGCAGCTTACCCAGTGTACCACACAGCAAGAAAGATTGCCCGGGATGGTGCCGGATACCGGGGATGCGAAAAACAGCTTGCAAGACGCACAATGTTCCATGGCGTCCAACGGCTTGGGGTTAAGGTGCCCCGAGTACCGCCAGCGCAGATGTAGTTGCTCATAGACCCGGCTTGGCACCACCCTTGAGACCACTGCAGGCTGGGAGAGAAATTTCTCCGGTTACCCGGGTCTTTCGGCTGCTCGTGCTGAGGAGGCTTTCTTTTGCGAGAATAGCAATACGTGCGCCAGCTATTTAACTGGCTCGGTGGATTTGGCTGCACCGCTTACAAACAAGCAGATCAGAGGCCGGTACGGCCTTGTCCAGCTCGTCAAAATTGCGGGTGATGGGTCGGCCACACAAAAATTTGGCACCTTCAGCAGCCTGTATATGCACTGTACGACTGTAAATAAGCCATCGTCCAGGGGGACTCCACCGGCTCGGGCCTCCAGGTCCTCTGGGCTGATGTCGGAATCACCAGCTTCGGAGTCGGAGACATATGGGTCCTGCTCAAGGAGTTTCTCCTGCAGCTGAGGGCCTGACTCAGCCTGAACCATGACAGCTAAACGCATCACGCGACTGTCATCAGGCTTAAAATGGCCGGAACGGATGGCTTTCAGGATATCCTCGAAAATCTTCATCAAGCGGCACAGCTCGTCACGGCTGTAGGTCAGAGGGGACCGGGAAGCAGGGTCCAAGTGGTGCCCTGCAATGCGGCGGTCCTCCAAAGAAACGCCTCCGAATTTGGCTAGCCAGCTGAGAAAGGTGGCCTTCATGCTGTGACTGCTGATGCGGGACTCCGAAGGAATGTCAATATGACTGGCTACTAGGAACTCACGCAGGTACATGGTAAGCTCACCAGTAGACATGCGACGTTCCAACCAAGACTGCGAGGCCTCGCTGAATGCAGGCAGTGACGGATTGAGGCCGAGGCCAGCATCAGCTCGGGCTTCCATCCACCGCGGCGCCCAAATCGTGGGGTATACGAAAGATCCCAGGCAAAGCAGCGGCAGAAGTATGGCCTTCCGTTCGCCAGTACCAGTCTTGTAAGACGCAGAGGATGCTTCCAAAAGATGCACGGTTCCCGCACTCTGAAGCTCCAAAGATTTGAGGTGGATTGTATCCGAAAAGCGAGAACAGCTTCCCACACAGAAAAGAATGTGCCCAGCAATCACACGCCAATGAGGATACGGAGGCTTCACCACAATTCTTTCCAGAGCCCGAATCATTGGAACTGACAATGGTGAGGCTTGGACCAGCGGCTTTTTGGTGGCCGCCAACGCTGCAGCAGCTCCTCGCACACGGCCTGACAAAGGTGATTGGCCTGCAAGTCTTGCGAAACCCAGCAGCGCTGACAGAAAATTCCAGCTTTCAAGAAAGGCCTTGGCCGACGTTGGAGCTCCGTGGGCCTGTAAGTCCTGGATATATGCATAGACAGCCGCCTCGATCGCGCGCAAGGGGCGAGCCAAAATCGAACATCAAGCAAAACTCGGCAAACTTCCAGAAAGAGGAAGCTCGTTTCGCCAATGTTGCAGTGCTCTTTGTAGCGAACGTGTCAGCAAAGGACTTCTGAAGTCTCTCAGGGTCAGACAAAATAGCGGCCTCGCCGATGAGAAGCCGCCCCAGCTCCGATGCAGCAGGATCAAGTAAAGTCAGGGTCTTAATCTTACGTAAAGCCTCAAAGCGCACAGAATCATCTGACCGAATCAGCGCAGCAAAACGAGCCCGCTGCCGAGCAAAGGCCTGAGTGGCCGAGGGCAGAGCATCTTGCGGAGCCTGCTGTATCGCCGAACTGACACCGGCAGCAAGCTGAGGCGGTGGGCTTGGGAGGGGAACCAAGGGTGCAGGAGGCCTAGGGGACCCAAAGACTAGACCAAAAACCCCTTGATCCCAAGGCATCCGAATGCGTTTGGCCCTGTAATCGCACAGCTGTTTGTGTGCGACCAAATCTGTTAGGCTGTCAGAGTCACGTTTCATGGCCCACACAGATTCGAGGCCAGAGTCCGGATTTGCTGAACACAACGTTCCAGCCACACAAGACGGCGATCAACAGCTGATTGAGACTGCTCTAAGGCACGCAGACGACCTTCAAGATACTCGGCACGATCACTCAGGACCCGATTCTCTTGCTGAACCTGGTTCAGCTGAATCTGTATGTCAAACACGTGACGAGAAATGGCCGAGATCGTGCTGCAAGAGCTGAGATTCTCAGAGTCAGAGTCAGCCCCTTGGGCCTCCATCAGCCGGCCCACCGCTACGGCTGAAAATCTTTAGCAAAGCTCTGCACAGTGCATGCCCAAGCTGCGTAGCTCATGAGCTGACTGAAGTGTCGTGTTGCACATGTGCGATGAGCCATGCTGTTTGGAGCGGCGCGGGTATGCACGCATGGTTCAACTTCAATCAACATGTTCAATCAGAATACACGTGTTGTTTGAGTGAAGTTGTGGGTTAAACGCAAATAGATTTCAAATAAATCGTTGTGAGTCAAAAGCTCACATCTCAAAACATGAAAACAAAACGATAAATAATTAATCATTGCGCTGCTGAACCGGCAGCTATGAAAACAGAAAAGACAACTTAGTCGCTCCGCGAAATCGCCATCCGCATCAAGGTCTTTAGGACGCCCTGCTGGCTGCTCGTACGAAGGACCTTCAAGTGAGCTTCGAAGCTATTCGCATTCCGGAGTGGAGTTCCGGAGCGGGTTCTGCAGTGTGGTTCTCCGGAGTGGGTTCTGGAGCGGTTCCGGGACGGGTTCTGGAAGGGTTCCGGAGCTGGAGCAGGTTCCGGACAGGGTTCTAAACCGGGTTTCCGGAGCAGGTTCCGGGGCATTTCCGCAGCGGCTTCCGGAGCGGGTTCCCCCCTGCTCAGACCAAAACCATTGTGTCAAGCCTCGCAAGATGCATGGTCACCAAAGACTAGGGCATACAGTGTCCTACACCTTATGCAGTCTTAGCACAAGGCTTGTTATGGTGATATCAGAACATCCATTTGCCATCAGCTACTGGGGCTTCAGTGGGTTTATTTTTTTCGGGCCGGCTGGAGCTTGTCATTTGGTCATTCTTGTCATTTCGAGAAGTTCTGCGTTAAAGCTTCTCCTTCCCCAACCTCTTTTGAAATCTGGGACGGGGCTGGCTACATTCGGAACGGAGACATGGCATGTGTTAAGAATGACACGTGCGATTTGACCGTTTCGATCTCATGCTGGCACACTTGTCACGCAGGCCCGCGGATTTTCCGCAGTCGGTGTTTTTTTCCCCCTACTTCGGAGAAACTCGTGGACGTCACACAGAGGCAGCGGACAGCCCGCTTCTCAGCGCCTCCCGGCGCTGCTCGGTCGCCCGAGCGTATGCCTATAGGCTGCAAGCACCCACATGCTGCCCTCGTGTGGCTCCACCATGTGATAGCGGCGGGCATCGAAGCTGACGGGCTTATCGTGCATGTCCAGCCACCTGCCGCGCAGCTCCCGGCTGCCCTTCTTGTCGGCCAGCCAAGCCGTGGAATCCCCCTCGTCGTCTTCGATCCACACCCGGCCGCCCGTGTAGTCGCCCAGAGCGAGCGCATGACTCAAGTGCCCGGCCATGTTCTGAATGTCGCGGTGCAGGCCCGTGGGGGTTGAAGAGCACGAGAAAGCAATTCACGGCCGTGCAGGCCTCCCGCAGGCCCGTGGCTTTGGACACCCCCGCCACCCCGCGGTGTCCGAAAAGCCCCAGCGATTGCATACCGCTCATAGGCCCCAGGTCCCACTGCTCGAGTGCGCCCCCCGGTGCTTCCAGTTCGCCGATGACAAGTCCAGGGGGCTCCTCCGTGGTGTTCCGGCACGCCAATTCCATGTTTGACATTGACGCGTTTATCACTCCAAACACTCATGCCCCTAAAACACCGCACCCCAATTCTTTTGAACCCGCCCACCTAGGTGCGCTCCGACGGCCCCCGAGTGCCTCCCCCGATTTTCAACATAGGCCCCGCCTATGTTGAGCGGCAGTTCCGGGCCAGTTGGCCAAATCGGTGCCGGCAAGCCCCGGAACGTGCACAGATCCTGGGTCACGGAACCCTCGGTGCCGATTTTGCGGGGTGCGCTCTGCCTATGCTTCGCACAACCTACCGGGCCCGCTGGCCAAAAGCGACACAGCCAGCCCCGGGAAGGCCCGCGCGAGGCCAAAAAGGCTTTGCCGGGCCGTTTCACACCAAACCGTGGCGAGAGCACGATTTCGGTGGGTACGTCCCCTTAGGTTCGGCTCGAGATTTCGTGGCTTCAGACGCTCAGTGTCGATTGGCGGCGAGCCTGTGGCTATCGTCGACCTGATCCGTGGGGGGTTTAGGATGCTCACTGATGCTCCTTGATGCCCGCCTTTTGTTTTGTTGTTGTAGTGGTTTTCTAGCTAGGCCCGCCGACTTTTGCAGTAACATTTTGCTAGAGTGCTTTTGCCGGGGTCTCTTTGGGATTGGTTCAGGGCACCCTAACCCGTTCGGCCCCGAAGCAGGCTTTGATACCCCCGCGTCCCTGCGAGTGCCTTGCCGCCCTAACCCCGTAGGCTCTGCCCCCCAGCTTATCTTCAACTTGCTCTTCTGCGCTCGCTCGGCTTCAGCACGCACCTGGGCACACCCTGCAAGGGCCGGTTCTCGACGACATCGCTTGAGGCACCCCTTTGTTGCTCGCTCTGCCGTAAAGTCTTGCTTCAGTGTCCCTTTGTACCGTCCAGGCACCAATGGACGCTGAGATGGACACTGCGAGGGCTGAGAGCAGGCGCGCGGAGCTGCTTGCTCGCTCGATCCTGATGTACCGCGAGTGCTGGTCGAACCCGAGGGATTCCCTTGACGAGCTTGTGCAAGAACTGCGCAAGTCTGAGATTTTGAAGAAGGTTGCTAAGAAGCATGTGAGGGACGGGCGTCGCG